TCACATGGTCCAATCCTCTTCTTCCTCACTAGGACTCCACCCAGCTTCTTCTGGTCAGGTGCAAAGGTGTGGAGACGAAGAATAACCTTGAGCTTCTAGAAAGGATTTTTTTATTTTAAAAACAACACATTCTACCCCTTGCTATTCCCCCCACTTAATGAGAGTGTGGCAGGCCAAAGATTCTTAAAGGAACCGCTGCAGGCCTGACATTGACCTAATGAGAGGGGAAATATAAATATATGAGGAAACTATGGATGAAGTAAGATTTTCATCCACACTCACTGAGAAATGGCTAAGCTCCAAATAGTGAAAATGAAACTTTCCAGTTGCCTTTTGAAAAGCACCTTTGGGACAACCATGACTTGGATGACATCCATAAAAAGTGTTCTAGCAAATAAAAATGTCTTATTTTAACTTTCAAATAAGCCAACTTGATATTCCTTCCTTTTAACATTCTTAATTAAGTATTGCCACGGGATTTGATTTGTCTTCAAGTCTTTTTCATCTCATCATATAGATTTTATCAAGGTTTAACAAGTCTCTTTTGTGGATGCTGTTAAAAACATTTCCAGGGCATTTTCTTGATTCAACATTTTTATTTCCCTTTTTATTTTTAAAAATTGAGTCATTTTCTTTTGTTGTCCAGATAAGTAAAATTTGGCAGCTTTCATTTCCTCATTAACATATTTTAGACATAATCTAGTCATAGAAACAGAATCATTGCTGAAACTGTTGATATTATGTTTAGAATTTCTGATTCAATCTTCAAAGACTTCCCTTAATATTTCCAATTTTATAAAATATTGTTTTGTATGTCCCAGTATTAACTGACATCAATTGCAGGCTTTTTTTTTTTTTTTGCTGTTTAAAACCTATAGTTGCTTCTAGTTCCATTTTCTAAAATCATTACTTATCTTTTTAATCGCAATATCCAGAAAAACTAATCTACTTATATTTCTCATAGCAAAAGCTTATTTCACTTTTTGCTGTTTATTTAAACATCAAACCTTATAATTAATTTTTCTTTTGTTCAAAGTTGAAGATAAATTCACCAATGAACACTTTGCAATATTGTCGTTCTGAAGATCTATAATACATTATGATGGTTGGTAGGCAATTTCTATAAAGTGAATAGAGGTTTACCATATCTTCCTTGAAAGTCTCATTTACATTTTGAAAATTAAATACATTTTTTAAAAACAGTAACTATATAATAAAACGTAATGCAGCATAGGTTTAAGAGACACTGAAAAGGTTGGGAGAAGTAAAAAGTGTCAGAATATTCATGACTGGCAGAGACATGGTAACAAGGTCAGCTAATGAGGGCTGCTTAGAAGCTGAAACAGTATTGGCTGCAGACATCTAGGAGCCTGGGCATGGTTTAGGCTTAGCTTAACTGCCCTGTATAGAGGTGGTTCTTTTTGTCTGTATTATGCTCTGAACTGAAAAGGAATACCATGTTCTCTCCTCTGCCTGTGAACCAGCTTTTGGTATTGGTATTGTGTATCTTACTTCATATGTTATTATATATATAAAGTTAATGAATGCCACTGAATCAGTTATCTGTGTGTGCTTTCTGGATGTGATTTCTGCAACAAACAGTTGCAAAAAAACCCTTTATTTTGGCAATGGTGGGGGATGGGATGACGACAAATAGAACAAGAAAGTAGATTCTTGATAGGGAAGCAATTCCAGATATGCAGTGCCACCACTGAAAGTTCCTTCTCCCTAATTGCCACTGGACCACCTGATAAGGTGAAGAAAAATCTAATAGTTTGGGCAGCAGATATGTGGAGTGCTGGTCCTCCAAGCTAGATTTGAAGGACTATTCAAGGGGGTGTAGAATATGAAGATCTACAGTAAAACCTGTTAGATCATGCCAAATCAATTTCTCTTTCCAGGATAGTTCAAGGTTACGTCTCTTCCGAGTGGCAGCTGAGAAACACCAGAATCTTTATCGGCAAGCCATGATAGGTGATGGCATCGATAGACACCTTTTCTGCCTCTATGTTGTCTCTAAATACCTTGGCCTGGATTCTCCTTTTCTACGTGAGGTAAATTCTGCTGGCATTGTTTATGTGAAGATCCCCTAAGACAATTGTTCTCAGAAAGTGAGGTGAAGAATCAGAAAAATAAGTCACTTTTTCCTCTCAGGTTATATCTTGAATCTTGCATGTTTTTGTCCATGCATTTCTATTTCTAGGGATAGAACTTCCTATAAGTATGGTCAAGGTTGTTCCCCTTTTAAAATAGGTGTTTATATTTTTATCACTAAAGGAAGTGAACTCAGCCAGCAGTAGTCCTGAAGGCTTTGTTTTAAAGCTCAAGGTCTATGATTTGACTCATTGTGAATGCCATGTGTCAGAATATTTTATCTGCTGGATTTTTTAAAACCTAAAGCAACTCTGCTGATTTTTATTCATCTATTATTCACGATTAACTAACCAAATAAATATCATTATAGCAGTCCATATGGTTGTTTGAGGTTTAAATTTCTATATTAAAATATAACTATGACATATATAGTTTTTCGGCAGTGAGTGTGAAGGATTTTATCCGATTTTGCATGTTTTAGTACTTAGTTTCAGTGATTTTGAAACATGCTAGAGTTGATATTTACTGCAGGTAAATTGCTAATTTTCCTTTAAAAGTGACAACCATCAATTTGGAGATTTCCTAATGTACTGGGAGGGATGGCTTGATCTATGTATATTTTCTTAAATCAATACAATACAATACAATAGCAGAGTTGGAAGAGACCTTGGAACTCTAAATCCATTAGAATCTGGGAACTATTTTATCTATATGTATCTAAACATCCTTTTGCAGTCTAGAACCTCCAAATCTGACAGGTTCTCCTATATTAATTTAGAACCCCTTATTCTAAATTATTTTTAAATGTTACCTTTTAATTATATATTCACAATAAATATGTATGGACTAAAACTGTTCACCTTTGGATAGGGTGTTGGTTTTTATAGAGACGTTTAAGGCTGAACATGTTTCTAAAGCATGTTTTCTCTATCTTTGCATAGTTTTCTTTGAAACTCTATGCTGCACAAGTGAGGAATGGAGTACAGTCAATGATAGTAGAGCTCCCTCCTTATTCCCTGATTTCTTTCTTCTTTGTCAGGTATTATCTGAACCATGGAGACTCTCCACTAGTCAGACTCCCATTCAGCAGATAGAGCTATTTGACCTCCAGAATAATCCTGACTATATTTCTTGTGGTGGTGGATTTGGACCGGTAAGCAGTGCCAAGATTCCTGGATTTTCTTGAAGGAAAATCCATGGTTGGGTTAAAGTTGGAGGGGATGCATATTTATAAAACCCAGGTATACTGGATTCACTAGGAATGCTGGTTTGATATGGAAAATAGTGGGGCTTTGGAAGCAAAGGTCCTGCCTCATGTTGCTTTTTCTTCTGTGCCAATGAAAGGTTGATGACAATGGATATGGAGTATCTTACATCATTGTCGGTGAAGATCTCATCAATTTCCACGTGTCATGCAAATTCTCCGGCCAAGGGACAGTGAGTCTGGACTAATAGTTTTCCTAGCAGGGGAGATGATGATGTATTGGGGAATAGGATACTTTGGTGATTTGGGTAGGGCATCAATGGTTTATGTACAGTAGGTAATGGTTATCGTCTTATGCCCCCCAGCCCTCTGCCAGTTGAGTGCCAATAGAAAATGCAGTTTAGTTTTAGACAAAAGACAGTTTAAAAAACTCTAATACACATATGCAATCATCTGTCTCAACTGTAAATGTTCATCGGGATATGCAATGGCAAATGCCAGATTTATCATGAGTTTGCTTATTGCTGCCTAATTCCCATGCTGATTTCATGACCTGTTTCTTCCTCAGAATCAATTGTTTCATGGATTATTTTTCTATTGTTGCTTGGGTCTTCTAAAAGGCTAAAGCAGGGGTGTCAAACTCATGTCGTCACAGCGTGTCACGTGACATATTGGGATTTTTATTCCCTTCGCTAAAATGTGGGTGGGGTGGCACGGCGTGACGCATCCGGCCCACGAGCCAGGAGTTTGACAGCCCTGGGCTAAAGCGATGCATGTTAAATGCATCTCAGGTGCTCTCAGGCCCCAAGAACAATTCGTAATTGCTTCTGAACAGTTTCCTTTATTGTTGCCAAACTAAATTTTGCCAAACTAAAGCAACTGCTTGCATCATTAAAGATATAATTTGAGAATTGCTAGGGAAGAGCCCTCTTCACTCTCTTTCTCTGGTCAAACTATCTAAACTATCTGCTACCTCTTGGCCATGTGGAATGCAATCCAAAGTACATTCCCCCATAAGTGTTGAAGTATATGGGTCTTTTCTTATGACAGCAAGATGTTGGAAATAAATGGCTAGGTTCTTTCAACGCACTCTTACTTTTTGATGAACCATGAGCCATGATTTGTTGAATAAAGCAAAGTGGGGTGAGTTCATATGTTATGCAAAGCATAAGCAAGCATCTAATTGTTTTGGTAGATATTAGGATTATATTAGATGGGATTGATTAGCTATTAGGAGCCCATACAATTAGGGTGCATAGATAGGGATTAGCTGTCTGCTCCCAGAATTCCAAGTCAGTTTGCCTGAGGAACCACCACCACCTATCCCCAGCTGCAAAATATGAAACTGTTTGTCTGCCTTCTAATGCTCATCTCCTATTAAGATGATACAATTTGAATCTTGCATGGATGTTTTATCTATGTAATGCTACATCTATGTTTTAAAATTTCATTGATATGTGATTCTATTTTCTTAGCTAAATTTCTTTATCTTTCTTCCGCTTTCCTACAGGATTCACACCGTTTTGGGTTTAATATCCGGAAAGCCATGAATGACATCTTGAATCTTTTCCAAGAGAACAAAATGGCCCATGCCACAGCTGGCAAGTGACTGAATAAATGCCAGCAATATTGTACAGTTAGTTATCAACGACACATGTTGAGTGTGTTTTTTTGTTCGCTAATCAGCAGGGATTTTTTGGAAAGCGGGGGAGGGGAAGCCCAAGGGCCAGTCCCGAAGGTGTCTGCAAGCACAGTGGAATTCACCTTTGGATTTAGAGGCCTGAATTCTACTGTATATCAAATCCCACAGATCTTTAGGCAAATAAGAGTTCTTATCCACCCGTCCCACATTTCTCTATTTCCTAAAGATCTGATGGGGAAGATTGCTAACTAAGGCTTGTTTGTGGATGAAGAAGCCATCCGTTGCTGGATTCGAATGGAAAAGTTGGGAGCTTAGCTGATTGTGGCTTCTGCTCCAAGCTTCCACATGGATTTTCTGAAGCTGTTTCTCCTCATCCATTTGCAACCAGCTGCTAAGAATCTCTTCTCCCTGTGCTCCAGCCACTTTAAGACCAGTGGTTGATTGCCTGACTATTCTGTACTTCATACATGAAGGACTCAGTCCCTGTGGCTGTGATTATACTATTCCTATATAAAGTGCTTCAAATAGGTTGATGGTAGGTGATATTTTTGAGAACTGAGTTCCTCATTCTCACCCTTTAATTCCTGAGGTAATAGGAAGTCACTATAAATTCATTGTAGGGGAAAGGAATCTTAATGTAAGCCAATCAGTTGGTCTATCTCTTAGCATTATAAATGTTAATAAAACTCCAGAATGGGAGTTCTTGCCAAAAATGTTTGGTTTTGGTCAACTGAAGGGTTAGAAAGCAATAAGGAGCATGTTTAAAATCCAAGAGGTTTTGAAGAAAGCCCTCCATTGCAGAAGTGCTTAATACTGCCTCTTTTAAATGTCCTTTTATCAGACAAGCCAGACTTCTCCCTTCCAGAGACCTTTAGTTTAGGTTACCATCCTTTTGCAAAACTTCTGTCATTTGAAGACCTTTTTTTTTTAAATATAAGGGCTGACCTGTGGAACATACAAGAAAGAACATTAGGGAAACTATGTGAAAAATGGGGCACGCCCAGACTGCAGTTAGAAAAGTAGACAGTGTTATGACCACATATTCAGATTTTCTATTTTCATGCAACTTCCAAAAAAGCTTTTGCACTTCGTTGTCTTCTAAGAGTTGATAGCAAGATGGGGAAGTTTTTCAGCTCCTTATTGTGTTGAATGCAAACTTATTAGATTGGGACAATGCTTGACATTTGAATGGCATGCTGCAGGACATACTGGTTTAAGGTGGGTGGTCTTACAGCAGGGCTCCTGTTTGTGCATGAGCCTCCAAGGCTGTTCCAGATCCTGCTTCCATTGATCAGGGCAACTGGATGTTGGAAAAGGGAGAGAAAAGGAAGGCCTACAGAGCTCATTAACCCATTGGGGCATCAAGCCAAACATACAGTATGTGCAATACTGGTAATCATGACACTGTAGGTCACCAAACAAACAAGTTCAGTTGATTAGATCTAAGGGAGCAAAATACCACAGGGAAAAGCACCCTGCATTCTCCCAGGGCTGCCTCCACAGGACTCTACTGCCTCCTGATGGCTTGCATGCATTGGGTCACAAGGCATGGTCAGGCCTGTGACTGTAGCAAGTGATGGGAACAGCAAAGTCAAAGAAAAAAAATACTAAGGGATAGATTTGGATCTAATGACTCAGATCACTTTCTAGAGTGGTAATGCTTGAGGCAGAGAGCTATTGGCTCCTGACAGTCCTTACAAGGGAAACATCAGCTCCCCTCCCACCACCGGTCACCTGAGTTTAGTAGGTAATGTGTAAAAAAAAGATAGTAACCAAGGAGAATCTAAAGCAAGTGTTTACCCATATATGTAAAGCCCAGTCCTGAAAATTCAAAGGTTGTGCTATGAATTACATACTATAGAGACTGAGCAGGAAGCTCTTTAGAATATAATAGCAATAGCAGATTTATATACCACCACACAGTAGTACAGCCCTCTCTAAGTGGTTTACAGAGTTTGCATATTGCTCCCAGCAATCTGGGCTCATTTTACTGACCTCAGAAAGATGGAAGGCTGAGTTAACCTTGAGCCAGTGAGAATTGAACTGCTGAACTGCTGGCAATCAGGAGTCAGCAGCATTAGCCTGCAGTACTGCATCCTAACCACTGCACCACCAAACTATAAGATGGCTTAAAAACAAAACTATTCATAGTTTAGTTTAAATCTTAGGGCAGGGTTGAAAACAACTATTAAGCAGCTGAAAGATTCCTTTTTAGTTTATATTTTGGATGGCTTGAGAACTATCATAGACAGAGAAATGGCAAGGAATATCAAATGGGGGTGTGAGAATTGAGTTTATTTTTTAAATGACTCATACCTTTTAGCTGAACAAAAACAGCAGATACAAGTAGATTTCAACTGACAATCACAATTGGGACTGGAATCTGCATCGTTAGGTGAGGTAGTCATTAAGTAAGGTGCACCTGATTTTAAGACCTTTTATGCCCTCAACTTCCAGGAAACTGCAGCTGTCATAAATACATGCTGGTTGCAAAGCAGCCAATTTCAATCACATAACCAAACCACAGGGATGTGCAATTGTTATGTGCAAGGATCAGAATAAATCACTTTTTTTAGCACTGTCGTAACTGAATGATTGCAAAATGAACCCAAGTACCTGTAACTTACATGTTTCTGACATTTGGCAATTAATTATAGCCAACAGAAGTAGCATTCTGTTCTAACAGAAGTACATGTTTATCTCTGAAGAGGGGAAATACATGGAACCACCATTTTTGTGCCTTTCCATCACTGGTCTTAACTTGTGGTTTATCAAGAGATTCATTATAGCTCAGTTTGATTTGCAATAGCTGATGTTCAGGGGTTTGTTTTTTTTAAAAAAATGCTTCCGACATAAAATAACAATTTGCTGAAGACTGCTAGCCTAGTTACAAGGCTGCAGAAGGATTTGAAATGATTAAACAAATAATGCCTGCCCCAGCCAAATGCTGGGGTTCTCTTGAGAAATTTCAGCTACATGACACAAAAAGCTGGAAGGGAAAGAAAGAGCAAAACTAAATTTCTCTTCACATACAATTTCATTTAGCAACTCCTCAGTGATTCTTTTTCCTTTTCCTTCCACCCTACTGTTTCTCAGACTCCCCCCCTTCACCCATTTTCCCTTATAGAAATACCTGGGAAGAGACAGATCAATTACAAAGGATTTTTAAAATTAGGCCATGTAGAAATTGTCCTTCATAAAGCCACCAAAAGACTAAGATACTATGTCCATGGAATAAATAACAGTGCAAAAATGATGGCTTTCCATATATGCAAAATATGTGTTGATAAATAAAATAGAACAAAACTGACATTCTAAACTTGCAGTAAGCAAGTTTCGCAAGAAGAGTGAAGAGAAAACTGGAGAGACACATATGCTAATTTGCCTATTAATGAAAAGGAAAACACTGCTTCTGAGCTCATGTATCCCAACACCTGAAGCTTGAACAGGCAATCAGCTATAATTCACTATTTTTGTGAATGCCCTTAGATTTATTCAGCTGGACGTGGGAAGGTTTTTTTTCACTCCCCAAAGTTAGTTCACTGTACTACACCAACCTCAGTGCTATTATCCTTCCTACAAAATACAAAAAAATATTTATAGGAAAATAGATGGAAATGAGAAAAAGAACAACATGGAAGTAGACAGGAAGACCACTCGGAAGCTAGTGCAAAACTATAGCTGAGCAATTTGTAGCATTATTTCCCTCTCAGTCACATTTGGACTTGCAAAAAATATATGGATGTTGCACTTGTCAAAATCAACAGGGCCAGGACAAAACAAAATTTAATTAACACATCATTACAATTAATATTGTTCATTATGACTTTCATTTTTAGTCACATTAAATTTACCATTCAGCACTAATGGAAGTACTCAGGAAAGTACATTAAGGATTTTCAAAGGCTGCATTTAATTGTTGGACTATGTTCTCGGACTGTGGAATTCCCATTATTAGCCAAGATCAGAGGAAGAAAAGTTTAGTGTCAAAGCTATTGTGCTTTGCCCACTGAAGATCACAGGTTCATTTTTCAAGGTCTCAAAATATTTTTAGCAGTGTTTAGAAAAATTTCTGAAAGAAATTTTGATGAACTAATGTCCGATCAGAATGGGAATAGAACTCAGGGTAAGGCAGTTTTGCAGATTGTATATCCATAGCCAAGGTGGCCTGTCTCCAGACTTCCCAGCATATGGCCATCTCAATCTGGCCTGCATCAACTTAGGATCAGAAAATTGCTCCAGAAAGACTGCACTCTGGAAACATTTTATTGGGGGCAGGGGGGTCTGGGGTTAGTCTACTCTGTGCCTCACTGTGACATCGTCTTCTGCAAACGCTGGCAGCTGGGGCATTTGCCTTCTGATTGGCCCCGCTGCTTCAGCTCCTCCAAAATGGGTGCCATCGCATGTTCAAACATCTTTCTCAGCACCTCTGTATTCACAATGCTGTAGCTGTGGGTGGGAACCAAGAGGTGATAAAGAAGAAAATAAAAAAGATGCCATTTGCACAGTCATTCAATGTAGAAAATATGACAGCTTTAAATCTTGAAAGAGAGAGTAACAGCCCAGGTACAGCATCAAGGAACTCCCTCCATGCAATATCAGAAGAGTGCATTTTGTTGCACTGAAAATAACATTTTAAAAAAAGATATCTCTGGAAGTGAGCTTATTTAATAAAAATATGACAAAGAAGCACTGGTCTAACTTAATATTGCTTTAGGACAAATTCCCTTTTTTCCAGAACTAGTGAAAGGAGTTTCAAAATATCATTAGAAGAAAAGAGAGGAGGTAGCCAATATATGTACAAAACATCTAAACTGGAAAGAGTTTTAAAAAGCATTTTAAAACCCAACTCTTCTTGATTGTTTTAAATATGCATGCCAATTATATGAGTTTTAGGAAATTGAATTTGAAAAAAGAAAACAGATGTTCTTGGGAATCTAAAGCCAATGCCAAAAACTGGATTTTGTAGAAAACTGCATTTTCAATAGCAGACAATTATCTGTTCATGTAAATAGTCAATTCACTTACTTCTGTAATACTGAACCTTCTCTTCTGTGAACTGGAAAACTGCAATTACCTGCTGGTCTATGAAAGGAAAGCTATAATATCAAATCAGTCTTTCTAGCTGACGTACTGTTCATAGATAAAGCAAAAATTATGGATAGTCCTTGATAGAAAAATCATAAAGTTTGTAGCTGTCCTGATACATCATGGCCATCCAATAAGAGCATTTCTCAACCTTGGCAACTTTAAGCTGGGTGGATTTCAACTCATGCTTGGCTTGGGAATCAGGAATTGGCTCAGGATTCTGAAATCCATACAGCTTAAAATTGTCAAGATTTGGCTTCTTCCCCAAACATGGGATGGAAGATTTTGTGCCTTTGGACTGTTTGTGGATTGGCTTTGATTAGATGAAGCTACTTTGGGACTGTTTTACCCTGTTTTAATATTGTGGATTTTTTATCGACGTATACTGCCCAGTTCCATGTGCCAACTGGGAAGCTGTTAAATTGATATAATCAGTCTATCAGGCTAAGCCATAATATGCTATTTTTGGTTTTATCTTAGCTTTTGTGGTCCTTGGAAATTACAAACCATAGGTTATGCCAAGTCCCATATGCCAAAAACAAACAATCCACAAATATATATTTGAGTTAAAAAAAGCCAAATGACGTGGGAATTGGAACCCGACTCCCAGAGGTAAAAGATGTTGCTGCTTTTAATAATTTCATCTGTCATCAACAATCTCTCTGACACATCCCTTCCTTGGATAAGAAAGTCATTGAAAGACTATCTCGATCCGTTCCAGTCTGGCTTCAGACCTGGCTGCAGCACAGAAACTGCTTTGGTCGCGTTGACCGATGATCTCTGGAGAGCCAGGGATGGAGGGCACGCCTCCATCCTAGTGCTCCTTGACCTCTCGGCGGCTTTCGATACCATCGACCATGGTATCCTTCTGCGACGACTGCGGGAGGTGGGGGTGGGAGGCGCTGTTTTGCAGTGGTTCTCTTACCTCTCGGACAGGTCGCAGTCGGTGTTAGCTGGGGAGCAGAGATCGACCCCTAGGCCCCTAATGTGTGGGGTGCCTCAGGGTTCGGTCCTGTCCCCCCTTCTTTTCAACATCTACATGAAACCGCTGGGTGAGATCATTCGACGGCACGGGATAAAGTACCATCAATATGCGGACGATACTCAATTGTATCTGTCCGCCCCGTGCCAACTCAACGAAGCGATGGATGTGATGAGCCAGGGGCTGGATGCTGTTAAAGACTGGATGGGGGTCAACAAGCTTGTGCTCAATCCAGAAAAGACCGAGTGGCTGTTGTGTTTCCCTCCCAAGAATTGGCCAAGTACTCCATCTCTCAGGCTGGGGGGTCAAACTATACGCCCCTCAGACAGGGTTCGCAACTTGGGAGTCCTCCTGGACCCACAGCTGACCTTTGAACATCATTTGTCAGCTGTGACCAGGGGGGCATTTGCCCAGGTTCGCCTGGTACACCAGTTGTGTCCCTACCTGAACCGGGAGGCCCTCACAACAGTCACTCGTGCCCTTGTGACCTCTAGGCTGGAATATTGCAATGTGCTCTACATGGGGTTGCCCTTGAAGAGCATTCGGCGACTCCAGTTAGTCCAGAACGCGGCCACGCGAGCGATAGTGGGTGCACCTCGGTTCACCCACGTAACACCTATCCTCCGCGAGCTGCGCTGGCTACCTGTTGATCTCCGGGTGCGCTTCAAGGTGCTACTTATCACCTATAAAGCCCTTCATGGTAGTGGGCCTGGGTACTTGAGAGACCGCCTACTGCCAATTACCTCCACCAGACCGATTCGATCGCATCGATTAGGCCTCCTCCGAATCCCATCGTCTAGCCAGTGCAAACTGGCAACTACCCGGAGGAGGGCCTTCTCGGTGGCTGCTCCGCCCCTTTGGAACGAACTCCCCGTGGAGATTCGGACCCTCACCACCCTCCAATCCTTCCGCGCTGCGGTAAAGATTTGGCTGTCCCGGCTGGCCTGGGGC